CGCCGCCGTTGCAACTGCCGTCGCCGTCTCCGTCGCCCGCCGAGGCGGCCGCGGCGCCGTCGTCGTTTCGTCGGCGTCGCAATGTGCCCTCGGAGAAGCGGTTGGGAGGGGCGGAGGCGGAGGCGGAGGAGGAGGAGGAGGAGGAGGAGAAGAAGGAGTCTGCAGCAGGGGGTCTTCAATGGGTGCTCAATGGTCCCTCTATGTTCGAGGATCAATGTTCGCGGAACTCGGCAGGCGGTGGATGTGGACATGTTCGGGCCCCCGGGGGCCAAAATATATCCCCATACGCCGCCCGCTGGGGCAGGACGTCGGTTCCCAGGCGGTGGATGTGGATCAATTCCCGCCTCGCACTGTGGTCCATGGGCCGCACATTCAAATGCTCTGGTATGGTTGGCATTAACGACAGGCCGTGGTATTGAGGCAGGGGTGCGACGCTCGAGCGTCGTCCCTCTGGGGTAGCGCACCGCCCGGCCATCGCCGCCGCCTGCCTTGCTGCGTCGCGGGCCATCGCCTGGGGCGCACTGACAGTTTCGAGCTTCCAGAAGATGAATTTACATTATGCGTTTCCTCAAACATGTGAGTTCACGTTGTTCGCGTCATCAAACATGTGAATACACAGCTTCGGTCTGCTAATCAAACAAATACTACAACTGGAACGTGTGGATTCCCAGATTGCGTTTTCCGTAATTTGGATTCACATTCTGCGTCTTCGAAAATTTCAATTCACATTTTCGGCTTGCTAGCCAAAAAGAGTATCAACACCGGAAAATGAGAATTCACATGTTGCGCTTTTCCATCATGTATATATAAATATGTAGATGTGTACATAGATATATGTATATTCGTGCGTGTGAATTCACATTCTGCGTCTTCCTACAAAGTGGATTCACATGTTGCGTTTCGCAGCGCATGGATTTGTTTTCTTATTCTCGTGCCAGCGACAACGGCCTGGTGATGCGTTACCGCCAGCGTACAGCGCTCGAGCATCGAATTCTCGCCTCAATATGCCCATGCGCGGTGGATGCCAGTCATGCCAGAACATCTGAGTAAGCGCCCATGGAAGACCCCCTGTTGCGGACCCCATCTTTCACCCTCCAACTGTGGCGCCTCACCGGCCGGCACCCCGCGATCCTCGGGTATACCCAGGGCCCTGGGAAAGAAGGGAACCGGTCAGTGACAGGGCCCCGAAGCCAAGACATATCAGGAGGGAAAAAAACACACAGCCACAACTAATCGTCGATTCCCAGAAAATATGGGAGAATATGGGAAGTGGGGGGGAAGACAAAAGCCCAGAAAATATGCGAAAACATGGGGAATCCTGTCATCTGTGTGTCTTTGTTTGTGTGTCCCAGGGCCCCTTCAGCATATGCCGTCGCTGTGTGCCAGGTCTGCCGCAGCGGGTGCCTTCGTGCGACGGCCTCCCCTGGCCCTCTGCGCGGCCGCCCTGTGGTCCTCTTTGCCCCCCTCCCTGCACGCCGGCCAATTCGCCATTCCGGTGGCCCCGCGAAACTCGGGCCGGACGAATAAGGGGGGGATTGGGAAAGGGGGGGGTTACGAGCCGCCGATGGGGCCCCCCTTCCTCGATACATAGCCGCCTCGGGCAAATCAGCTCCGTGAGCCGATTTCCCCCCCCCCCCCCCTTTGCTATCCCCCCCCTTTCGCCCGGCCCGAGAAGCGCCACCCGCCAGAGCAGACCCTCTCCTGCCTCGCCGCCGGCGAACTGAAGTGCGTTCGCGCGGCGGCAGGTCCCGGTGCGTGGACCGGAGCGGGGGAGGCGCCCCCCAGGTTGCACTCCTCTTCGCCCTCCTTCTCGCCCTCCTCTCGGCGGCGAGCGCGGGGGGGAAGCGAGAAGGGGCGGGCCTTCTCAGAAGTCTTGGAAGTTCCCCGGCCTTCTGAGAAGTTTCTTGAGCCTTCCTCGAAGGCAGAAAAACACTTCTCAGAAGGCGCGAGGGCTTCTGAGAAGTCCGCCCCGCGGCCTTCTGAGAAGGCTTTCAGATTTGCCCCCTCGCTCGCCGCCAATCCTCGCCCTCCTCTTCCAATCCTCCTCCTCCTCCTCCGCCTCCTCCTCCTCCTCCTCCTTCTCCCCCTCCCCCTCCTCCACCTTCCCTCCTCCTCCTCCTCCCCCTCCCCCTCCTCCTCTTTCCTCCTCCTCCTCCTCCTCCTCTCCTCCTCCTCCTCTCTCCTTCACGCTCCCCCTCCTCCTCCTCCTCCTCTTCCTCCTCCTCCTCCTCCTCCGCCTGCCCGAGCCGCGCCCCCGCGCGCGCCGTTCAGGGGGCCTCCGCGCAGCGCGCGAAGGGCACTCGGGGCGGGGTCGCTCGCGCTCTCTCGCCTGCGCGGCGATGGGCGGGCCGCAGGCGTAGAGCTCGAAGGAGAAAAGAGCGGCACGGGCACGTGAACCCCACCACGCTCAGAGGGGGGGGGGTAAGGGGAGGAAAATAGTGGAACAAAAAGTGGCATAACAATAAAAACTCTGAGGTCCGCGCGGATTTCTTGGATCGGCGCTGGGGCTCCCCGGCGGCGCCTCCGGCGCCGCCCCTGGCGCGCTCCGCGCGCCAGGGAGAGGGGTCCAGCGCCGATCCGAGAAATCCGCGTGGAACTCAGAGTTTTTATGTTTATGTAACTCTTTGTTCTCCTAGAAAAGGTACCCATACCTCTACCCCTCGCCCGTTTCCCCCTTTTTCGGCCTCCTGGGGGGCCCTCGTCGCCACCGCTGGACGCGCCTCGAAATTCTGGTCAGAATGCACCCCGGGAGAAGCCCGGGGAGTAGCGGTATCGGTACCTTTTGGCTTCCTCTCAGAGGGGAGACAAGGGGAAGGGGGAGGGCTTCTTAGAACTATGGTGTTCCAGCCTACTCTTTAGCCTTGCTCGCCAGAAGGAATTGTTCGAGCACCTGGAAAGGACCGAAACTGAAGGGTTTTCACGTGCCGGGCCCTGGGAGGCGATACTCGCTCGACACTGTTTCGATACTGTTCCGGGTGCTCGAAAGTATTTCTGGGATGTTGTCCTTAAGTACGATGGGGGCAGCACGATCTGAGAAGCACCCCTGCTTCTTAGAAGGCGCGGCCTGGCGCCTTCTGAGAAGCAGCCTCCCTCGACGAAGCCTTCCCTTCTCCCCCGTGCCCCCCTTGCGCGCGCCGCCAATAAGCATTCGGAGCTCCGCGCTGATTTTTTGGATCTGCGTTGGGCCCCTCTGGCCGCGCCTCCGGCGCCGAGCCCCTAGCGCCGATCCCCGAAACCCGCGCGGAGTTCTAAAAGAAATTATGTCTGGGCCGCCTTTTGTTCTTCCGGTATCAGCTGGGGCCGCTGCTGAAGCCCATAGCTGGCACGTCGTGCTGGTCAGCAGGTCCGGGGCAGCCAGCCCGATAGGCATCCGACGAGGCGATTGTTGCCCAGCGCGGCCCCAGAGGTCCCGACCCCTGCCGTCCAGTTCTGATGGCCCCCGGGGCCCGGCAGTGGGTTTCCCACCGCGGATTCATGGTTGATGGCCCCCAGGCCCGGCAGCGTGCCCCCAGATGCCGAAATCGGGGAAAGCTTCCCGTCGGCGGCGAGGCAGAGGCGGTCCGCTCCAGCGACTGGCGATTCGGGGCAACCGAGTGGCTAATTGGCCGGCATGCAAGAGAGGGCAAAAGGACTAGGGGGTCCACGGGGAGGACGGGGGGGGAGAGTCGGGGAACACACGCCAGGGTTGAACGAAGCATACCGTCGCACATCTGGGGCCGTGGGGCACCGCTCCGTGGCCAACCCGACGCCCCGGATCCGTGTACACGCCCACCTGGGCCAAGGCAGCCAAGGGGAGAAGAACCACCCCGACCCCCCACGATTGGCGTGCACCAAACGGCGACGCTTACTGAACAGCCCTGCCCTGTTCGATGATGCCTTCCATGGGTGCGTGTACGAAGCGGCTCTGCCTGACGGGGTGCTCATGATGAGGGTGGTGTTCCTGCTCTCTGGAGTCGGAGAAACGCAAGACTCGAGTACGCAGGAACTCGAGTTTGCCGGCGTTTTTCGACGAGCGCGTCCTGGATTCTGACGGTCCAGTTTTCGCGGCATGTTTGCTGCTGGAGTTCGCGTCAAATTTCAGACTGGGTCTCGTCATTTTCATGATGGCCCTGTCGGGCCAATCAGAGTCCTCCGAACCCGAGTACGCCTCCCCGAGAAAGGCAAGGGGTGGCATCCACTGGTCCTGGGCCGAAGCTGTGCCCGGGCCGGCTCGGTGTGGTCATGTGCTCAGACCTCCTCCGCGTCGTGAACAAAAGCGCAACGGCATGCTGTTGGCTTCTGGGGTACCCTACCTGGCCCCAGGACCAGCAACAACGACTCGAATCGGGGCTCCAGGGACGAGGGTCAGTGCAAACGGGGGTCAGCCAGAGCGCCGAGTCTTGCAGGATCCTGCAGCGCCAGGGGTGCGCTGACCCGGACTTGGGTGCAGGATCCTGCAGGCCAGCAGTAGCTTGCAGGATGCTGCAAGGCCTGACCGACCCAAGACTGGATTGACATGGGTCGGTAGATGCCCGAAAAAGCCGGTCCCGGGGAAGGGATCCAGACCTCCAGGTTCGCGCTGCGAGCGAGCCACGGCGTCGGAGGTCAGAAAGGCTCGGATGCAACTCCTGAGAGGTCAATTCTGGCTTCGCCCGGGTCCGAGATCCGGCTTATTCCCGCTAGATCCCGCTGAATCCCGCTTCATCTGGTCTAATCCCGCTTCATCCGCGGCCTCATCTGGCGTACAGCCGGGCCGCTGAAGAAGGAATCTTTTTCGTTGGTGAGGGCTCAGTGTCTCTTACTTTGTTTTCAGGTTTTCTTAGGTTACCCTGAGGTTTTCCATGGGAAAATTGAACTTTAACTTATGACACAAGGAGCCTCGTTCCTTATTCAGGGTTCCTTCTGACAGCGTTTCGACTGTATAGTAGCCCCCGCATGGGACTTCTTTCTCCTTCATCCTTCCGACGAAGGCCTTCCGGTAGTTGCCTCCTGAGAGAGAGCGGTTGGCTCCCCCGGCTCAGGGTTCACCTGGGAGCTGTGCTGTGACACCCAGTGGTGGCCCGCCGCGAAAATATATGCACACAGACGCCTTCCAATGGACTGTTCCTCGGCCTGAGGGAACCCAGAGATCCAACGTATTGAAAAAATCAAGACCGAGGCTTTTCATATTTTTCGGCCTCGAGGGGCCCTCGCCGGGCCCCGGGACCGTCAAAAACGACTCAGGATGCAACACCGGTCCTGGGGAATGGGTCGAGACTTCGGGGACCCCGCACGGAAAACAGCACGACGTCGGATCTCTGGGGAAGGGCGGCGGTGCACACATGTCCACCGCGAGCCGGCGACTGTGTACACCGCTACCCTCGCAGAAAAGGGACGCAACCCTCGTCGGAGGGCGTCTGCGTACTCATATATCTTTTGCGCGGCGCAGGTGGGGCCCCCAGGGCAACCTCAAGTGCTGGGCGCCCGCCTCGGGCTTCACGCTCGAGCGGTGCTGCCCCCTGTGGCCCCTCGCCGGCAACGAGGTGGCCCTGCCGCAGCAGTCGCGGGCGCTGCTGCACTTCGGTCTGAGCAGCGGCGACCTGCTGCCCGTGGTGCAGGTCCCCCGCGTGCGCGGCGACGGGGAGCTGCCTGGCTGGCACCCGGCGTGGGTGGGCGGCGTCCTGTGGGCCGGCGGGGGTGCGCCAACCTCCTTCCTCCTCCTCCTCCTCCTCCTCCTCCTCCTCCTCCTCCTCCTCCTCCTCCTCTCCTCCTCCTCCTCCTCCTCCTCCTCCTCCTCCTCCTCCTCCCCCCCCTCCTCTCTCTTCTCTCCGGCGGGGATCGCGCCGTATCGCGACGCGGCTCGATGTGGGCCCCATGTTCTCCACGCCGGCGTCGCCGATGCATCGCCGGTGTCGCCGAGGCACCGTCGATGCATCGGCGATGCAGCGCCGACGTGTCGGCGACGCGGCACGATCCCCCGACCTCATCTACCCCGAGCCCATCCGTGAGGCCCCTGGACCTGCGCCCCCTGCCTCCTGGCGCCGCGGAGGGATCCCGGCGCGAGGGTTCCCTGCAGCCCGTGTGGGAGCTGAGGCCCCTGCGGGGCCCCTGGGCCTGACCGAACTCAGGAGGGAACAAAAACACAGAGACACAATTAATCGTCGATTCCCTAGAAAACATGGGAAAACATGGGAAGTGGGGGGAAGACAGAAACTCAGAAATTACCCCAGTGCGACCCTACCTAGGAGTTGGATGCTGTGCTGCGCTATGCTCTGCTCTGCTCTGCTATGCCATGCTATGCTATGCCATGCTACGCTGCGCAATGCTATGTTGGGCTAGGCTTGGTTAGGCTAGGCTATGCTATGCTATGCTATGCTGCGCAATGCTATGCTGCGCTATGCTATGCTATGCTATGCTATGCTATGCTATGCTATGCTTTTGCTTTGCCTTCGCTTTTGCCTTCACTTTCGCATCTGCTTTTGCTTTTGCTTGGCACCCAGGGAGCGCAACTGGGGGAACCGCGCGTTTGCTTTTACCTTTGCTGTTGCTTTTGCTTGGCTCCCAGGGGACTGGGGGAACCGCCCGGGGCGCTTTCCACTGCCCGGCCCCTTTAAGCTACAGAGTAAGAACCCTTCTAGGCAGAGCCTAGGTAGGGAAATATGGGAGAATACGGAGAATCCTGTTATTTGTGTGTATTTATTTGTGTGTCCCAGGGCCCACTCACAAACACGGTCCGCTCGGCTGTGCGAGCCTGCCCCCGCCTCCTCGCGTTGCGAAGAAGCCACGACGGGAAGGCCATGCGGACCTTGCAGCTGGGACCTTCGGTGGAGCTCCCCATGGGGCCACGAAAGGTGTGAGGGGTGTGCCCGCAGGTGTGCGGTGGCGCCCTGCGGACCCTGCCATTGGGGCCTTCGGTGGAGCTCCATACCTAATTATGGGGCCACGAAGCGTGTGAGGGGCGTGCCGAAATGGCTGACATGGCGGAGGGCAGAGGCAGGGATGGAAGGAGGGATGAGAGCGAGGAGTGAATCAGTGAGGAACGCGGGGCGCTGTCTTGTCAAAACGAGGACCCAACACCATGAAAGCCGCGTTTTTTTTTGCCCCACCGCGGGATGGCCAGGGACCAAAAGCAGCGACTCTCGTCGCCCGCGTGGGCGCACACGCAGCCCGCGCCCGCCCTTACCAGCCTGAAGCCTATCCCTACAGTCGGGGCGCTGAAGCAGGAACCCTTTTCATTGGGGAGGGGCTCCGTGTTTCTTAATTGTTTCGCAGCTTGCCACAGGTTTTCCGCAGGTTTTCGATATGAAATCGAAGTTCAACTCATGGAAAATAGGGGCCTCGTTTCTTATTTAGGGTTCCTCAGGTCAACGCCCCGACTGTATCCCCGTGTGTCTCATCACCCCACCGCGGTGCCGATCTCAAGGGATCCTTCGGCTTCTGAGGGCACATCCCTGAGGTTGTCCCCGCCTTCTGGCCGGAGGGGAGGAAGCGCCACGAGCACACGGTCAAAAACCCGGACAAGGACGCGCGACTCTGGCAAGGACGGAGGTGAGTCAGGGTACCCTTGCGTCCTTGGAAGTTTTCGTCGTCCGCCGCCCCAGAAATCCCAGCTTTGGCTTCCGAGGGTCTTGCGTCCTGACCGCGCGTCCTTAGGGTTTTTGACTGTAGACCTGGGGCGCTCCGCGAGGACTTCGTGGGTCGGCGCCCGGGCCCCCTCTTGGCGGCGCCCCGCGGCGCAGCCCCGGGGGTCCGGCGATCCCGTCGCCGACTCTCGGCGACGTCGCGTCGACATTCGTCGGGCGCGTCCCTCCACAGGAGAAAGATGGAGAAACAGTCAACAAAAAAGGTCTGGGGGCGATTTGGGGGTATGTCTTGTGTTTGACTGTACACGTTTGGCGCTCCGCGCGGATCTCTTGGATCCGCGCGTGGGCCCCCCCCCCTCGGCGGCGCCTCCAGCGCCCCGGCGGCGCTCCGCGGGCCCGGCGCAGGTCCAAGAACTTCGCGCGGAGCGCCAAACGTTTCATGTTCGTGCCGTTTTTTTGTTCTGTCGAAGCTGGAGGAGGAGGAGGAGGATGAGAAGGAGGAGGAGGAGGAGGAGGAGGAAGAGGAGGAGGAGGAGGAGGAGGAGGAGGGGTGGTGGTGTGGTGGTGGTGGTGGCTTAGGTAAGCGATCTGGTGAGGCCTCGGGCACTGCCTCTTTAGCGGCACCTCCCTCTCAGGGATGGCTGGGGGACAGCTCACCACCTGTCACGGGGGTCTAGTACCGCAACGCCACGGCGCCACTTGGTCCGAGAGACTCCCAGGGGGTACCACCCCTGGAGCACCCTCCCCCCCCATCTCGTCCCCAGGAAGGCCCAGCTGTACCAGCCCCCAAGTACCTGAGGAGCGGGAAACCCCAGAACAGGAGGGCGTTACAGCTGGGGCCCCCGACCCAGGACGAGGGGGACAGGGGGATCCATCCAGGGACGCCCTGGTGGCCTCCCATGCCGGGCGGAACCAATGCCGCAGAGTGGGAATGGACAGCGCGAGAGCTTCCGCTCACCTCCGCTGGGACCTCGCCCGTCCTAGCACATCCCGGATGCCACCGCAGGGCGCAGCTGCGAGGCGATGAGAGATGACTGGAGGAGGCCCTCCCCGAGTGGGTGCCCCCCGCCACCACCCCTGCTCGGCATCGGGACGCGGCCCGGCCTGCGGGGAGAGAGAGGGGGGGAGGAGGAGACGGGGAGGCCCCTCGCTCACCCCGAAGACCACAGGTCCCCTGGGGGGCCCTTCGCCAGGAAACGAGGCGAGGCCACCGAGACAGAATCGAGAGCCCCGGGAACCCCAGATTGCCATCCAGACTTGTGCATCCCAGCGTACTGGGTGAGCCCACCCCCAGGGATACTCGGAAAGTCCCGTGCTTTTCACTGACCAGCAGTGCCATTGTGGCGTGGGGGGGGCACGGGGAGAACACCCTCGCGCTGCGCCCACCGCAAGGACGAACGGATGCGCTGTACCTCCTGCGTGTTCGGTAAGACGCCTCCCAGCAGCCCCGCCTGCTGCTCCAGCGCATGCCCCTCCTGCCTCAGCGCTGCCCAGCGGCACCCAAACAGGGCATCCGCCTCGTCGTCACATGTGGGTCCCAGACCCCGTCCGTGAGGAATCTCTGCGAGGAGTGCGGCCAGGGCAGCTTCCATGCCCGCGTCCCATTCCGCCCTACCCAGCCTCAGATGAGCCGAGGTCTACGGACAGGGGGTTGCGGGTCGGCGGCGCAATCCTGCCCCCACCCTCCGCGGGAAGCCAGCGATCCTACCACCTGCCCTGTACGCCCCATCCGCGACCCAGCGAGAGGCAGCTGGGCCGACGCCTGCGCGGGAGAAGG